GAAAAAGGAAAAAAAAAAAAAAAAAAAAAAAAAAAAGAAAGACCTCCGATGGGCCGATCCCAATGGTGATACCCGGGGTAGAACGGATGCAAACACAGCAAGCCCACCTGCAGGCATATGGACCCGACCTGCCTGGGGAACGGTGGTAGAAGCTCCTCCGGGAGGAAACACTGCACCACCACAGAAGAACACACATGGACTCACAAGAATATATAAAAAAAAAAAAAAAAAAAAAAAAAAAAAAAAAAAATTGGTGTCCTCCCTCGAAGGAGAAAAAGAAGAACCTTAGAGGGCTAAGCGGGATTGCGGGATTTGTGTCCTCTAAGGTTCGTTTTTATGAACCTGCAATCCCACTTAGCCCTCCAAAAACGTTTTGATCCACAAGAGGAGTGCGAACGAGATCGTGGGCGATCTCGCAAGAGCCAAATCTGGCAATACATTCTCAAAAATGGCTATGGTACAGCCAGTAAAGAAACGTTGGGCATTTTTTACAGTGTATTGCTGCCAGATTGGGCATTTTTGGGAAACCGTTCAAATCATCTCAGAGCCAGGAAAGAAACGTTGGGCCCCTTAAAAGAAGGTGACCTTCGCAGGATTACCCCCTCAAAAAGAAGGCGACCTTCGCAGGATTAAGTGGCCGTCTTATTCCCGCATCAGAAAAGAGAAGAGGAACTGTCGGCAAACAGTCACTCGCATGAGCCAGGATAGGAAAATACACCAATACAAAATAATCCTGATCGCACGCAAAATCGAATTGAGTACGCAGACACAGAAGGGAACAAAAAGCCCGAAATAAAGCATGAGACACAAGGCTTTGGATTCCAACCCCAAAGAGTCAAAGACTCAATCCACCATATCCATCCTCAAACCGATGCGGCCATCCCTCAACGCATTTAAGTGGCCGTCGCAGGATTAAGTCGCCATCTTATTCCCGCATCAGGCCCACGAACCTTAGAGCCCCACAATGGTAAATAGTAAATACTGTATAAATGTCCTCCCACACCTGACTGGCTCACAAGGAGAAGAAATCTGGAGATTAGAGGAGCCATTTTGTTCCCCGCTCTGCTGCTACTGTGAGGCCGCTCCACCCCAAAGATGAGGGCCACACTGGAACACTGCCTCCTTGAGTGCCCTATGGGAACCCAGTTGTGGAGCTGGTGGGATGCAGCATGGCATTTATTACCTGACAGGCACCCGCCTGCCATGCGACGTCAAAAAGTCGCTGCTCCCGAGGGAAACATACAGACACCGGCGACCCCACGGTCGCCTTTTATGAATAACCTCTTCAACACCACACGCCTGGCCATGCTAATGGCGGTCGCTCTACTGGTCGGGGGGTTTACCAGCGGCACCCATCCACCCAGTAGAGCAGCCCCCATGGTGGGGGCGGGAGGAGGGCACGGCCCCGGAGGGGGCGGCATTGTTCTGAGCAGCCCTTCAAGCCGCATGCCATTCCTTCACACTATTTCTTAACATGCCTAAGTCGTCTCCAACGACTGGTATCTACTTCCTTGAAGTTCCTTGTGTATTTCCTGTCCATCCACACTCCTTTCTCACTCTCAGCACCTCCTGGACCCAACAGTCTGCCTGCTATTCTACATTCTAGATTTCCGTTCACCCCCCTTGGGTCCATCCTAATGTACCATCGGGTCCATCCTAAAATGTGCCATCTAAAAAAAAAAAAAAAAAAAAAAAAAAGTACCATCCGTCGCTATAGAATCTAGTATTGATACAATAGTACACCCGCACCAAGTGTCACCACTGCGGCAGTTAAGCCAAGCTGCAGTAATTGAATATTCCCCATTGTGTCTATTCAACTCTCTATTGTATCTATGGCCCCATCATTTCCTTGACTGTCCTCTGTTCACATCTATACCTATTTTCTGCGGCATCCTGTGGTTTTCCTTTTATTAGTCTATGTTGTTGTTGTTTTTTCCCCCCTATCATTGTTCCCCCGGTACCCATGTAAACCCTCCCATCTGTTAATGAACATCTACTGCAAGTCTAATCTATAATAGTACCTCTATTATAAATTTATAATACATATTTTGTATGGTATAAACATCCAGATCATATTATAGATATCCAATATATGATAATTATCATTATAATAATAATTATCATATTGTATATCTTTCACATATAATCCTAGTTCTATAATTGCTCCATGAATGGCACTCGCACAGAGGTAGCAAAGTAGACCAGCGCGAAGACGAACGAAGAAGAAGAGCGGGAGGAGGAGGAGTAGAAGAGGAGGAGAAGTGAAGAAGAACAACAGCAGGAAGAGGAGTAGAACGTACTAGAAACTCAAGATAATACAATTGATACAAGGTTTTATCTTGACTTCCCCCCATCTACCTCCTCTGGGCACTCCTCCCTTCTATCACCACCTCAGCGGACATTATCCTTTTTGTTTGCTCTTTTTTTTTTTTTTTTTTTTTTCTCTTTTTTTTTTTTTTTTTTTTTTTAAGTTTTTTTTTTTTTTTTTTTTTCCCCCCCCACCCTATCCCCATATCAATGATAAATCCAGTCTCTCTCTGTGTTTCCCAGTTAGCTTTTAAGAGTTGCGGCGTGCATGCTGCTGTGACTCTCAGGAAGTACCAGGGGTTTGTTTCGCTGGACATCCATCAAGGCAAAATGCGCCTGGCATGCAACCTGTTTCGCCTGGACGGATGTGCCGTGGCGAAACGGCACCCCGGTAAGTCCCGGGAGTTGCAGCGGCATGTGCACCACAACTCTGAAAAAAATTCAAAAAAATGGCCGGGAAACGTACTGGTGCCTTTAAACCGCTAGTACACGGCCCCAGCCTTGCAGAAAGTTTTTGTCGCCACAAGCAAAAATCGGAGGTGCTGTGCGGCCAGGCCCGCTGTTGAAAAAGGAAATCGGCGGCCTCCGAAGTGGTGCGGGTTTCATGCGTACACCCGCGGGCCGATATGTGGTGTACTGGTGCTTTAAGAATACAGTGCAAGGAAGAATACCACCGATCAATGCAATCCTTCAGTACTTAGCTTCAGAAGGCCAACCGCCGTGTCCCTTCACGGCAACTGCAACACATAGGTGCAGCCTTTATTTTGCAGGTACTAAGCTCTCAAGGCAGGATAGGGTACCCCCGTTAACCCTCCCTCTCACTTCCACTCTACCTCGTGAGCCTTGCTCTCACATGCTAATCAGCAATGGGGCAAGTGGACCTCCTAAGTTGGCCCAAATGCAGCTGTAATGGCGGGGCGGGCGTTCTATTAGTGTGAAGACGGTAGCGTCAGAGCAGCACTCTTGCACTGCATTTTGAGGAAGCGCAAGCAGAATGAATTCGCCCGAGCTGAGGCAGGCCGGTGTTTCGTAGTGCTATGCTAACTCATGTTCATGTCGTTTCAATGTTTCCTCTGCCCCCTTGCAGACAACGACGTTGCGATAATCGACAAATCCTTTGGGTAAGGTCAACTTTTTTTTTTTTTTTTTTTTTTTTGGTTCAACCTTATTATTATGGATTTATCAATTTTATCTACGGACTTATGCGTTGTCCCCAAACCCCATTGCACTCACGTAAGCCGGATAAATTCTCGGTTTTTGAACGACCACATTTGTATACCGTACCTAGCATCGATGCATTTTCGCATCTTATATTTTGCATAACGCTAGCCTCCGCTTTCCTCCTCCTCGCCCTCCCTTTTCCCAGTATCCATCACCTTCACTTTCTGCACTCTTTACCTTCCAATCTTCCATTGGACCCCCTATTTTGATTGTCCCCACCCTCTCTCTCTCTCTCTCTCTCTCTCTCTCTCTCTCTCTCTCTCTCTCTCTCTCTCTCTCTCTCTC